GGGTGGAGGGGGGTTTAGGGGGGTTTGGGGTTTTGGGAGGGGAGAGAGGTAGCGCACACACACCCCTGGGGGCTGCTCATTACTTTCATCGAACTCATCAAAAATCAGAGGTATTTAGGGTTTAGGGTTTAGGGTTTAGGGTTTAGGGTTTAGGGTTTAGGGTTTGGGGTTTGGGGTTTGGGGTTTAGGGTTTAGGATTTATGTCTGCGCTGTGCGTGTTTCGTGTCTTTTTTTTCACTGTTTATTTCCATTTACTCTTTTTCAATCTTTTTCTTTTTGTTTCTTTTATTTCTTTTATTTTTAATTTAATTTCTTTTTGTTATTTCTTTTTTGTGTTTAGGTTTAATTTCTGGAGCTGCTCCTTTGTGTCTGCTGCCCCCGAGGTGGAGAAGCTTTTTCAGTCTGTTGCAGAAACTTGCCTTGACCAGGCCTCGGACCAGCAGCAGCAGCAGCAGCAGCAGCAGCAGCAGCAACAACAGCAGCAGCAACAGCAGCAGCAGCAGCAGCAGCAGCTGGCGCAGGCAGCGAGGTAGACGGGCAGGCAGCTGCTGTGCCTGCTGGTCGTTCGTTCTCTTCGTGTTTCTGCTGCTGCAGCAGCAGCAGCAGCTGCTGCTGCTGCTGCGGCAGCAGCTGGTACTGCAGCAGCTGCTGCAGCAGCTGCAGCTGCTGCAGCAGCGTTTTCTTGCGGTGTGTTGATTGCGTGTGTTTTGCGCCTTTCGCTTTTTATTATTTCTGTCTTCTTTTTCTTTCTAGTTAAATATTTATTTTTTTCTTTTGAATTAACAGAGACAGACAAACCAATTAATTAGTTCAGCGATAGCAGCCCCAGGTGTACGTACACCGCAGCGGATAGCAGCAGCCCCAGGTGTACGTACACCGCAGCTCGGCCCGATCTTTGCAGTTCTTCTTTATTTCTTTTGTTTATTTCTTTTTTCTTTTCTTTGCCTTCTTGTTTCTTTTGGTCTTATTTAATATTTGTTTTATCTCTTTTTTGTCTTCTTTCTCATGTGCCAGTCCTTACCGCTTTCTCTGTCTTTGTTGCCGATTGGCGGAATCTCCTAGGGTTTAGGGTTTAGGGTTTAGGGTTTAGGGTTTAGGGTTTAGGGTTTAGGGTTTGGTAGCGAGTAGGCGGTATGCTGGAGGTTTAGGCTTTTTAGCGAAAGCAATCCAAGAAGTTCGGGTTTGAGTTGCAGGTTAATTTCTAGGGTTTAGGGTTTAGGGTTTAGGGTTTAGGGTTACAAACCCTAAACCCTAAACCCTAGTGCTCAGAGGGTTTCTCCTGTGCGATTTCGCGGTACTAACGAGGGACAGAAGCGCTAGGGTTTAGGGTTTAGGAAATGCCGCATTAGGGTTTTAAAAATTAAAAGAAGCGAAAGGGAAGAGGGTTCTGAGGTGTACGTACACCTCGAGACAGGGGCTTCAGGTGTACGTACACCTCGAGACAGGCGCTGACCAGTGGGCCGTTGGCCTGGGGAGTGGAGGGCGGGAAGAAGGGGGAAATTGGGTTTTTTGAAGCAATTTGAGTTTAATTTAATGAATTATTTCTAATTTTTAAATTTAAAATCAATTTTTTAAATTAAAAATCCACTTTTCCGGTTTATTTCTCCGTTTTCGGTGGCTAGCTGGCGCGGCCGACGGCGGCGGCGGCGCCGAGGTGTACGTACACCTCGAGACCGCCAGAAAGCCCGCCGCCGCCTCTTCTTTTACTTCTTTTAATTTAATTTAATACTTCTTTTATTTTAATTTAATTCTATTTTTCAAAAACTCTTTCGACTTTGCAAAATATTTCCTTTTTCCCGTCCTCCGAGGGTTTACAAGATGGATGACAGCGTTCCCCTCTACCATCTGCCCCTCTATGGCGGTGAGATAAACCCTAAACCCTAAACCCTAAACCCTAAACCCTGCGGATTAAACCATGTGAGGCTTTGAGGCAGATGGCGAACAACAAAGACACTGCCAGCCCACACGCTTGAAGTCCTAAACCCTAAACCCTAAACCCTAACTTGAATCGAGCAGCAGCAGGTGTTGCTGCTGCTCTTTGTTGCTGCTGCTTCTGTCGCTGGTACTCTTTGTTGCCGCTTCTGTTTGCCGCTGCTGTTTGCTGCTGCTGCTGCTGCTGTCCCCTGCTGCTGCTGCTGTCCCCTGCTGCTGCTGCTGCTGTCCCCTGCTGCTGCTGCTGCTGCTGCTATTTGCTGCTGCTGAAGTTGCCTCCTTCTGTGTCTCTCTCATTCCTGTTATCTCTCTGCTGCATTTGCTGCTGCTGCTTCTGCTGCTGCTGCTGCTGCTGCTATTTAAATCAATTTCAATCCCCTTTAATCAATTTCAACTCATTTTGACTCATTTTAACACCTTTAAACCCCTGAAAACATCTCTAAATATATTTAAATTGAATTAATTTAATTTAAATTTTTTTAAATTGATTTAATAAATATTAAAATATCTTTTTGTCTTTTGTTTTTTCCCTTTTAAGGCCCGCTGCAGTCCCGCAACAACACAGAGTCTTTTTCTTTTCCCCGGGCCTTCACTTGCCCCACGTACAGCACAGACTCCCAGCAGCAGCAGCAGCAGCAGCAGCAGCAGCAGCAGCAGCTGCAGCAGCAGCAGCAGCAGCAGCAGGGTGCTGCAGCTTACTTGGGCTACGCCTCGCTTGTTAATGCAGCAACTAAAAGTCCCTACAGAGGCAGCGAAGAGGTATTTGTTATATTTTAATTTAATTTAATTCAATTATTTATTTATTTATTTATTTGTTTTAATTAATTAATTAATTAATTTGTTTTAATTAATTAATTACAATTATTTAATTGATTTATTCCTGTTGAATTACTTTTAATTATGTACCTCGTCGTTTGTTTGCCTATCTTTTTTTTTAATCTTTTTCATTTCTTTTTTATTTCCTTTTTATTTCTTTTTTATTTCTCTTTTATTCTCTCTATTTCCTTTTTATTCTTTTTATTTCTTTTTATTTCTTTTTATTTTTTTAACATCTTTTTATTTACCTTTTTTAAATTTCTCTTTTATTTTTTCTCTTTTGGTTTTTTTTGTTTTTAGTTTTGTGTCTGTTCATGCTGCTTTAGCTGCAGCGTGGAAGTCCAGCGCCTTTCAAATTTGCTGCTGCTGCTGCTGCTGCTGCTGCTGCTGCTGCTGTTGCTGCTGCTGTTGCTGCTGCAGGAAGTGGGGTTGCTGTCGGTTTTATGTGTCGATACACCTCAGCAAGACCCCCTTGCTTCTGTCTCCTTTTTAAATTCAAAAAATGAAAAAATAATTAACAAAACAAATAAAAGGAGACAGAGTGGAGCGAGGCTTTGCTGCGGCATTTTGGACTAAAAGCTGCTGCAGCAGCAACATATATTGCTGCTGCTGCTGCTGCTGCAGCGCAGCAACGGCAGCAAGGACTCCAGCAGCAGCAACTGCAGCAGCTCCAACAGCAACTGCAGCAACAGCTGCAGCAGAAGGCTCCGCTGGTGCTGCTCTATCAGCAGCACCGTCATCATCAGCAGCAGCAGCAGCAGCAGCAGCGGCAGCAGCAGCAGCAGCAAAATGATCAGTTTTAGAATTTATCCAAGGTTCAGCAGAAAATAATATTTATTTGGTTTATTTGCTGCTCTCGAAGCAGCAACAGAGGCAAAAATGCGGGCAGCAAGAAGCTCTGGTTTGTTCCTGCGAGCTGCAGCAGAAGCTTCTGCTGCTGCTGCAGTGACTGCAGCAGCAGCTTGTGCTGCAGCAGCAGCGACTGCAGCACCAGCTTCTGCTGCTGCAGCAGTGCCTGCAGCAGCAGAGCCGCTGCAGCAGCAGTTGTCCTGCCGCCCTCACTAGCAGCAACTGCTCAACTGCAGCCGCTGCTGCAGCTGCAACTGCAGCAGCAGCAGCAGCAGCAGCAGCAGCAGCAGCAATTTGACATCATTCTCTAGGCTCCAGCAGCAGCGCCGTGCCTCTGAGGATGCAAGTAGATGAAGGTACTGCTGTTGGCAGCGGCACCGATAAGACGCAGTTTTCTGCAGCAGCAGCAGCAGCAGCAGCAGCAGCAACAGCAGCAGCTGCAGCAGCAGGGCTGTGTAAGCACCTCTACGTCTTTGTTGGAGACTGCCCTATTCCTTAATCAGTATTTATTTATTTATTTATTTATTTATTTATTTATTATTAGATAATTTATTTATTATTTTTAATTTGTTTGTTTTAACTATTTATTTATTTATTTATATCCCACCTGGGCCTCCTCTTGCTGCAGTTGCATATACTGGGCAGCTGTAGACATTATCTGCTGCTGCCTCGTTTGCTGCTGCTGCTGCTGCTGCTTCTGTGTCTGCTGCAGCAGCATCCTCGGCTGCTGCAGCGTCTTCGTCTGCTGCTGCGGCCGCGTTTGCTGCTGCTGCCGCGTCTGCTGCTGCTGCTGCTGCTGCTGCTGCTGCTGCTGCAGCAGAGACTCTAGGACTCACAAACATTACTGGAAATGGCTCACAAATCAAAGAATTAGTTTTGCTGCTGAGCTGCTGCTGCAGCAAATCCCAACTCCCACCCTCCAGAGACAGGCCGTGTATGTACACCCCAAACTTCGGCTGCCGCTGCGGCAGCGGCAGAAGTCTAAAAATAAATAAATAAATAAATAAATAAATAAATAAAAATAAATAAATAAATAAATAAATAATAAATTAAATAAATAAAATAAAAAATAAATAAATAAATAAATAAATAAATAAATGATGAATAACTTTGCTGCCATCTTCTTGTTCTTTCAAACTTCTTCATTTCTTTTAAATAAATTTCAACTTCCATTTTTAATTTATTTTTATTTTATTTTAATTTTATTTTATTTAACTTACTGAGGCTCCACAACTCCCATAAACTCAAACTCCAGCTGCAGCAGCTCAGCTGCCACTTGCTGCTGCCTTGCTGCTTGCTGCAGCAGCGCAGCAGCAAATCCAGAAGGGTAAAACAGCAGCGGCAAACAGTAGCAGCGGGGGCCCCCGGGGGGCCCCCCGGGGGCCCCCCCTGGGGCCCCCCCTGGGGCCCCCCCTGGGGGGCCCCCCGGGGGGCCCCCCGGGGGGCCCCCTGTGGGGCCCCCTGAGGTGTACATACACCCCACTTCTACCCTTTTCTCCAGGTCTTTTACCCAGCTAGCCAGTGGCCGCAAAGAAGGGTATGCAGCAGCAGCCCAAACCCTAGGAACCTAAACACTCACAAACCCTAAACCCTAAACCCTAAACCCTAAACCCTAAACCCTAGGCCCGAGGCTGGAAGCGAGGCGCAAAGGAGCGCGAACGGGAGCTCGAGGGCCTGAGCCGGAGGGCGCTGTAAAGAAGCCGCGCGTAAGGCTAGGGCTTAGGGTTTAGGGTTTAGGGTTTAGGGTTTAGGGTTTAGGGTTTAGGGTTTGCCTGGTTTCTGCTGATGGCTTCGAAGAGTTCGTCCGTCTCCGGTGTTGCTGCTACCAAACCCTTGAGCGACAGCAGCAGCTGCAGCAAACCCTCATTTATAAGTTCCAAAAGGCTGCAGTACCGCGAGCGCTCTTGCGCGAAAAACACGCCTGCAAACCCACAAACCCTAAACCCTAAACCCTAAACCCTAAACCCTAAACCCTATGCCCTAGACTCTAAATCCTGTGGGGGGGCTCGAGGGTGCTGCTCCGGAGCGTTAGGGCCTGCTGCGGGGGGTTTCTGGTGTACAGTCTAGGGTTTGGGTGGAAAGAGCTTAGGGTTTAGGGTTTAGGGTTTAGGGTTTAGGGTTTAGGGTTTTGGGGATTTTGCGTTACTTAGCGAGTCTTGGATTTGTTTGAATCGGTCTTTTCCCCGAGAGTCACTTTTTGCTGCATCTGCTGCAGCAATTGGCGACGGTGGCGCTGCTGCTGCGTCTGCTTCTGCTGCTGCTGCTCTTGCTGCTGCTCTTGCTGCTGCTGCATCTTCTGCTGCTTCCTTAGCAGCAACAACAGCACTTTGCAGGTCTAGGGTTTGGGGGCCCCGCACCAGCGAGAGGCAGCCGAGGAGCTGCTGCTGCAGCTGCTGCGCGCGCTGCAGCACGAGCTGCTCTGCTGCTGCTGCTGCTGCTGCTGCTGCATCTCTGCAGCAGCAAAATAGACTCGCAGCACAAATACAATGCAGCGCTAATCAAGCAGCGCAGCCAAAATAAAAAGAGCAAAAACGGGGATAAACGCAAACCCTAAACCCCAAACCGCAAACCCTAAACCCTAAACCCTAAACCCTTAGCCGTAAACCCCAAACCCTAAACCCTAAACCCTAAACCCTAGCTCACGTGGGCTGCATGGCCTGGAGGTGGCTGAGGAGTTCATTTCCTTTGTCTCTTTTCAGCAGCAAAGCAGCAGCAGGACAAAACCCTAAAAATGCATTTGTGTCTTTTATTTCCAAAGACAAACGCGCTATGCAAGTTTCCTCGTCGTCCTCAAACCCTAGGTGGCCAAACCCTAATGCGCACGCCCAGCCGCAAACCCTAAACCCTAAACCCTAAACCCTAAGCCTCCGTGGGACCTGCCTCCTCACTGCTGAGGCCTCCTGAGCCCTCGATGAAACGCTAAACCCCCAAACAAACCCCAAACTCTAAACCCCAAGCCCTAAACCCCAAACCCCAAACCCTAAGTCCCAAACCCTCCCAAGTCCCAAACCCTCCTCGCTAAACCCTAAACCCTAGACCCCAAACCCTAAACCCTAGACCCCAAACCCTAAACCCTAGACCCCAAGCCCTAAACCCTAGACCCCAAACCCTAAACCCTAGACCCCAAACCCTAAACCCTGCCTCTGTCTGCGGGGTCTTCCGTGATGAATTGCTGCGCGAGGGTTTTGAGGGTTTTCTCGTCTTGAGGGTTTGAGATTCTTCCCCCGTAAGTAATTTCGGAAAGAAGTTTTTTGAGAGAATTAAAAAGAGAGGTTTGTGGGGCCCCACACGCGGTGTACATACACCGCAGCAGCTCCAAAGAAGCCTTCAAGTCCGAGACCGAAAAGCAGTAACTGCCATTCCATCCCAGGGGTCCGTAAGAGGCTCTTTCCTGGAAAAAAGGAGAAAATAAACAAAAATAAAATGAAAATAAATAAAATAAATAAATAAAATGAATTAATTGATTCAAAAGTTTCATTTTTTCGTTTCAAATTCAAAAATTCACGAAAAACCAACGCTTGACTGTCCATACACCCCACCTGCACCACTGCGTGAAAAACGAGAAGAGAAACTTTCAAAGATTTCCACTGAGACTCTCCTTTGTCTGCTTCTGCTGCTGCTTCTGCTGCTGCTGCTGCTGCTGCTGCTGCTGCTGCTGCTGATTCTTTTTTGCTGCTCTTTATCGCTCCTAGGGCCTCCTGGAGGCAAGCCCTGAAAAGAAACAGTTTTTTTCCTCCTGGTCTTACCTGCTGCTCACTTTTAAATTAATTAATTAATTAATTAATTAATTAATTAAATGATTAATTAATTAATTAATTAATAAGAATCAATTAATAAGAATTAATTAATTAGAATTAATTAATTGATTAATTAATTAATAAGAATTAACTAATAAGAATTAATTAATTAGAATTAATTAATTAGAATTAATTAATTAATTAGTTAATTAATTAATTAATTTTCGGTTTGTCATTTTTCCTTTTCTTTGTCTTCCTGTCCGGCGCTGGTTGTATGCTTCTTTTTATCAGCGACATCTTCTTTCTAGAGGGTTTAGGGTTTAGGGTTTAGGGTTTAGTGTTTAGTGTTTAGGGTTTAGGGTTTCTGTAATTGGGTGTGTTGCTGCATGGAGTTTCGCCTTGCGCCTCAGAGAGAGACAGTGAAGACGCCGTTTCTTCAGCGTTTAGGGTTTAGGGTTTAGGGTTTAGGGTTTAGGGTTTAGGGTTTAGGCAAGACGGACGTAAACCCTTTGGGTTTTTCCAAAGACAACTTCAAAGAGCGCTGCAGCACCGAAGTGGGGAGAAAGTCGACGGGGAGAGAAGTGAGAAAAAGTCGGAAGTTGGGGTGTACGGACACCTCGCCAAACCCTAAACCCTCGTCGCCGCTAAACCCTAAACCCTCGACTGTCTGCTGCAGCTCCGCCATCCAGCTTTTCGCCAAGTGGCAGTTCTGCAGCAACGCCCAGCCCCCTTCCCTGCAGCGCAAACCCTAAACCCTAAACCCTAAACCCTAACCCCCAAACCCTTAACCCCATACCCTTAGCCCTAAACCATAAACCCTAAACCCTAAACCCTAAACCCCAAACCCTTGACGCAAAGCCGCGCCGGATCCTCTCCTTGTTTTTTCGCGGCTTCGCAGCCGGAGGCTCGCCAGAGCCAGTCTCCACTAAACCGCCAGGGTTTAGGGTTTAGGGTTTAGGGTTTAGGGTTTAGGGTTTAGGGAGTTACCGGAGGGCCGTAGCCAGCACCCTGGAGGCCTTGGGGGCTTGGCCCCGGCCCAGGGAAATGCACTCAAATTGGGGTTTAGGGTTTTGCTGCTCCGCAAGTGCAGCAAGAGCAGCAGCAGGGTCTGCGCCAGGAGACAGCAGCAGCAGCAGCGGTTTGCTGCTGCTGCAGCAGCAGAGCGCCTCTTCCAGCGAAGGAGGCAGCAAGTTGCAGAAGGAAGGGCCCAAAACCCTAGACACTACTTCCAGCGCAAAAGCAGCAACCTGCAACCGCAAACCCCAAACGAGGGTTTAGGGTTTAGGGTTTACGGTCTAGGGTTTAGGGTTTAGGGTCTGCGCAGCAGCGGCGCCCACAGCGCCTCACGGCGCCGCAGCAGAAGCCCGCTTTCGGCTCTTCAGGGCCTAGGGTTTAGGGTTTAGGGTTTAGGGTTTAGGGTTTGGGGTTTACGGCATCCTTTCGAACGATGTTGAGGAGCATCATGGTTTCGAAAACCCTGAGGGTTTGGGGGTTTTGCTGCTGCCAGAGAGGAGGGTTTAGGGTTTGAGGGTTTGCGCTGCTGAAGTAAGAAATCCATTTGTCTCTGTTGGCCACGAGATGAATTGGCAGTTCTTTTAAAGAAGGCAAAACCCTCGACAGCAGCAGCAGCTGCTTCCACTGCTGCTGCTGCAGCAGCTCCGGCAGAGGGTTTGGCCCCAAACCCTCGCCCAAACCCTCGCCCAAACCCTCGCCCAAACCCTCGCCTAAACCCTCGCCTAAACCCTCGCCTAAACCCTCGCCCAAACCCTCGCCCAAACCCTCGCCGCGACCCGCCTCAGCGTTTAACCCGCAGCCGCCGACCAGGAGAGCTGCCGCCTGAACAAACCCTAAACCCTAAACCCTAAACCCTAAACCCCAAACCCTAAACCCTAAACCCTAAACCCTAATCTTGAGGCAATAAGAGAAGACCTGCGAAGTAGTGGAGTCTGCACGGAAGTGAGCAGGTCAAAGTGCCGAATACGGTATCCTACGGCCTAGGGTTTCGGGCCTAGGGTTTAGGGTTTAGGGTTTAGGGTTTAGGGTTTAGGGTTTGTGACCTCTGCAGTCTCTGGGTGCAGTTCCCTTTTGATGATTTCAGCAGCAACAGCAAATGCAAAAGGCAGTTTGTGTTTTTCGAAAAGCCCCATTAGGGTTTGGGTGTAGACTGCATGCGTTGTTTCCTGAATTAGGGTTTGGATTCTGTCTTTCGATTCTGCTGCTGCTGCTGCTGCTGCTGCTGCTTCTGCTGCTTCCGCTGCTGCTTCTGTTGTCCCTGCTGCTGCTGCTGCTTCTGCTGCTGCTGCTTCCGCCGCCCCTGCTGCTGCCGCCGGCGCAGGCGCCGCAGCTGCCGCCGCCGCCGCAGCTTCCCCCAACTGCCGCTGCTGCTGCTGCTGCTGCTGCTGCTGCTGCTGCTGCTGCTGCTGCTGCTGCTGCTGCTGCTGCTGGGGGGTTTTGGGGACGCTTTTGATGGCTTGAGTGAAGGCGTCGAGGAAGAGCTCGAGGCTTGAGGTGTACATACAGCTCAGACTCTCGAGCTCCTTGACAACGAAAAACATAAAAGACCCTCTGAAGGCCAAGGGTTTGAAGATTAAGTTGCTGCTGCTGAGTTGCTGCAGCACAAGTGCTGCTTCCGTGACTCGAGCAGCAACTGCTGCTGCTGTTGCTGAGGCCTCTTTTAGGGTTTCCGTCAACGCAGAGTCGTCCAGAATGTTGCTCGTCGAACTCGACAGCAGCCGCAGCATCGTCTCCTCCTGAACAAACCCTAAACCCTAAACCCTAAACCCTAAACCCTAAACCCTAAACCCTAAACCCTTGCGAGGGCCGCGGCCACGCGGACTCGAAACTAATCGCGCAAACAACACTTCGCGACACACCGTGGAAGAGCACACCCTTCTCAAGGGCTAGGGTCTACAGTTATCAAGGGTAAGGGTTTAGGGTTTATGGATTAGGGTTTAGGGTTTAGGGTTTAGGGTTTAGGGTTTAGGGGTCAAGGGTTCAGGTCTAAGGTTTCGGGCTTCCGGCTAGGATTCAACGCTATCTTGCTTCTTAGGGTTGCAGGCTCAGCGTTCACAGTTCAGGCTTCAGCGCCTAGGGTTTAGGGTTTGGTGTTTAGGGTTTAGTGTTTAGGGTTTAGGGTTTAGGGTTCAGGGTTTAATGGTTGAGGGTCTAGGGTTGAGGGTTTACGGTTGAGCGCATAGGCGTCAGGGTTTAGGCTTCAGGGTTCAGGCTTCAAGGCTCAGGGTTTAGGGTCTAGGGCCTAGGGTTTAGCGTTTAGGGTTTAGGGTTTAGGGTTTAGGGTTTAGGGTTTACGAGTTCCTGGAGCTGGCGCAGGTCTGCTGCGTTTTGGACTTGGAGTTGAGTGCTTTGTCTCTCCACTTGAGGGTTTTCTAAAAAAAGAATTTTCATCAAAAGTTGTTCTTCGAGGCCTTCTCGAGTCACTGCGAAACTCACTAGCGACACCTGCACGCAAACCCTAAACCCTAAACCCTAAACCCTAAACCCTAAACCCTAAACCCTAAGCGCTTCGGCCCCGCCCTCCGCGCTGACAGCGCCTCGGAGGCGCCCAAAGCGCCCTGTCGACCCAAGCCAGGGTTTAGGGTTTAGGGTTTAGGGTTTAGGGTTTGGGGTTTGGGGAGCTGCGCAGCTCGTGTGGGCGTGGGGTTTGGGCGAGTCGAGGGTTTAGGGTTTAGGGTTTGTGGAGCCACGGCGGTCGTGGGGGCGTGGGGTTTGGGCAGGACGAGGGTTTAGGGTTTAGGGTTTAGGGTTTGGGCGTTCCTGCATGGCGATGTCCGGGAGGTAGTGAGGGTTTTCGAGTTTGGTGGTGAATATCAAATAAAAATTAGGGTTTATGTCAATTTCTAAACCCCCCAAAAACACTTTTTCAGCGACTCCTAAACCCCCTTTTTTCTTCAGCGGCAGCGCCAGCAGCGGCGCAAACAACGCGGGGATTTCCTCCTCTATATCTTCTATCTGCGCGCAAACCCTAAACCCTAAACCCTAAACCCTAAACCCTAAACCCTAAACCCTAAACCCTAGACCGTAAACCCTGAACCGTAAACCCTAGCAGCAGTGAGCCATGTGTCCCCAATAGCTCTCTGGTGCATTTGCTGGCTTAGGTGGGGGGTTTGCGAGGGTTTAGGGTTTGGCGTTTGCAGGGCCCCTCAGGGTTAAGGGTTTAGGGTTTAGGGTTTGTGGGGCCTGTAGGGCGCATCCGAACTGAGGGTTTGGAGTTCAGGTCTTGAGCGCGCGAGGCGCTGCAGGCCAGAGGGTTAGGGTTTAGGGTTTAGGGTTTAGGGTTTAGGGTTTAGGGTTTACGAGCATGGGCTGTCCGAGCCTGGCGCAAGCCGCGAGGAGGTTTTGGAGTTTGGGGGTTTGGAGTTTTGCTGCTCGCAAACCCTCGTGTTTTCCCTTTTCTCTAAACCACCGTTTTGCCTGCTGCTGCGGATCGACAGCCAGCGGAGTTCGCCCAAACGAAATGCTGCCAATCACAACAACCCCACCAAAAGTCGAGCAAGAGTCCCCCGGCAGGCCCTGCACGCACGCCGCACTCCTGCTGCTGCTGCTGCTGCTGCTGCTGCTGCTGCGGGTGCTGCGGGTGCTGCTGGTGGTGTTGCTGCTGCTGCTGCTGCTGCTGCGGGTGCTGCTCGTGTTGCTGTTGCTGCTGGTGGTGTTGCTGCTGCTGCTGCTGCTGCTGCGGGTGCGGGTGCTGCTCGTGTTGCTGTTGCTGCTGGTGGTGTTACTGCTGCTGCTGCTGCTGCAGCGGGTGCTGCTCGTGTTGCTGTTGCTGCTGGTGGTGTTACTGCTGCTGCTGCTGCTGCAGCGGGTGTTGCTCGTGTTGCTGTTGCTGCTGGTGGTGTTACTGCTGCTGCTGCTGCTGCAGCGGGTGCTGCTCGTGTTGCTGTTGCTGCTGGTGGCGTTACTGCTGCTGCTGCTGCTGCTGCGGGTGCTGCTCGTGTTGCTGTTGCTGCTGGTGGTGTTACTGCTGCTGCTGCTGCTGCTGCAGCGGGTGCTGCTCGTGTTGCTGTTGCTGCTGGTGGCGTTACTGCTGCTGCTGCTGCTGCTGCTACTGCGGGTGCTGCTCGTGTTGCTGTTGCTGCTGGCGGTGTTACTGCTGCTGCTGCTGCGGGTGCTGCTGCTGCTGTGGGTGCAGGTGCTGCTGCTGCTGTGGGTGCAGGTGCTGCTGCTGCTGCTGCTGCTGCTGTTGCTGGTGCTGTTGCTGCTGCTGCTGGTGTTTGTGTTGGGGGTGATGAGGGTGCTAGTGTGGGCAGGCTGGTGGTGGGGGAAGTGCTGCTGCTGCTGCTGCTGCTGCCGCTGCTGTTGCTGCTGTGAGAGGGGTGCTGGTGGCGGTGGTGGTGCTGCTGCTGCGCAGTTGCTGCTGCTGCTTCAATTGCTGCTGCTGCTGCTGCTGCTGCTGCTGCTGCTTTACCTGCATGCGCCACTCGTTGATTTCGACGGGATTTGAGAGGATTTGGCGGATGTCGAAGTCGCTGCTGTGCAGCAGCTGCTGCTGCTGCAGCTGCTGCTGCCACTGCAGCAGCAGCCGCTCTCTGTAAGACTCCGCCAAAGGCCCCAAATAAATCAAACTTGCTGCAGCAAGGAGACTGTCTCCTTCCACAGACGCCAGGTGCTGCGCTGCTGCTGCCAAGCTATCTTTCCAGCGGATCTTCACGCACCAAACCCTAAACCCTAAACCCTAAACCCTAAACCCTAAACCCTAAACCCTAAACTTTGAACCCGCATCCGCAGCAGTGAGGCTCTAGGCCGCGTACCGGCCTCAAAGCAAAGACAGCTGCAGCGGCCCCAAGTGCCCAGGGACAAACTAGGGTTTAGAGTTTAGGGTTTAGGGTTTAGGGTTTAGGGTTTGCGGACGGCTTCTTTGGCGAGTCCCTGGGTGAGGAAGCTGGCGCGTTCGAGTCGGATTTGGCAGAGTTTTGTTTCTTCTTCAAGTTTTTCTTTTTCTTTTATTTGTTCTTTTAATTCTTTTTTCATTTTATTTACTTTTCCTTCCACGAGTTGACAGCGCGACTGCGCCGCCCGCAGCGCCTCGTCCGCCTCCGCCAGCTGTACGTACACCCCAAACCACAAACTAGGGTTTAGGGTTTAGGGTTTAGGGTTTAGGGTTTGCGGGCTGCAGCGGCAGGTGCAGGCCGATGCGCAGCGCCCTAATTAGGGCCAAAACCAGCGCTTCTAGGGTTTAGGGTTTACCGGCCGTGGCTAGGGTTTGCAACGCAGGGTTTAGGGTTTAGGGTTTAGGGTTCAGGGTTTAGGGTTTGGGTGGCAGCAGCAACGCAGCGGCTCGCGACTGCGCCTTCCGCCCAACGGCCCCACCCAGCGCAAAGGGGCCCGCGTAACGGCCAGCGAATTAAGCCTTTAGGGTTTAGGGTTTAGGGTTTAGGGTTTAGGGTTTGCCTTTTGGTTGAGTTCTTCCACTTTTTTTCTCTTAGGCTCCACTTCTTTAGACACTTTTGCATATTTGTTGATGGCCAAAATCCACATGCAAAGCGACATGGCTGCAACGGACTGTTTGCCCACCACTTCCGGCGTGAAGTCAGGCCTGCCCAAACCCTAAACCCTAAACCCTAAACCCTAAACCCTAAACCCTAAATCCTAAATCCTAAATCCTAAACCCTAGATCAAGGGGCTGAACCCTTAACCCTAAACCCTGGCCTTTGCTTCTGCGCCCCACTGTAGTGTCCTCTAGGAATGAGCCTACAGTGCTACGCGGCTCGGCTAGGCTTTAGGGTTTAGGGTTTAGGGTTTAGGGTTTAGGGCTTGGGATTCGCAATACCGCTGCAGGATCTTTTCGAGCTTCTTCAAAGTAGTGGCCGGGATATGCTCTTTGTCGAAAGTGGTGAGACGATTCAAAAACCCTAACCCCACACAAACCCTAAACCCTAAACCCTAAACCCTAAACCCTAAACCCTAAACCCTAAACCCTAAACCCTAAACTACAAACCCTAAACCCTAAACCCTAAACCCTAAACCCTAAACCCTAAACCCTAAACCCTAAACCCTAAACCCCTAAACCCTAAACCCTAAACCCTAAACCCTAAACCCTAAACCCTAAACCCTAAACCCTAAACCCTAAAACAAAACCCTAAACCCTAAACCCTAAACCCTAAACCCTAAACCCTAAACCCTAAACCCTAAACCCTAAACCGCAAACCCTAAACCCTAAACCCTAAACCCTAAACCCTAAACCCTAAACCCTAAACCCTAAGCTGACCACTGCACCTCTAAACCTCAAGCTTCAGCCCTCATAAACGGGGACTTCACCGAAAACCCTAGCTCTAAACCCTAGCTGCCAAACCCTCATCAATTAAATGAGGGAATAAACAAAAAATGCAAGCTGTATCAAAAAAAAATAAAACAAAAACAAAAACGAAAACAAAAACAAAAGTAATTAAAAACAAGAATGAAAATAAAACAAAAATACGCAAAAGCAAGAACATAGGCAAAAATAAAAAGGAAAATAAATAAAAAGAAAAATAAACAGAAAACAAAAACAAAAGGAACAAAAACAAAAACAAAAACAAAAGAAAGCAATAAAAAATTAAAAAAATTAAAATAAAAAATAAAAATAAAATTAAAAAATAGCAACAACCCCACCAGCGTCGAAATGGACTTTGCGTGCATAAAATAAAAACAACAAAAATAAGAGCAACAAAAATAAAAACAAAATAAAACTAAAAATAATAAAAATAAAAATAAAAACAAAAAGAGAGATAATAATAGAAATAAAATTAAAGATAATAAAAATAAAATAAAATAAAATAAAATAAAATAAAATAAAATAAAATAAAAATAACAACAACCCCACCAGTGTCGGAGAGGACTTTGCGTGCATGTTCCCAGTCTGTCTTTTCCGCGAGAAGAACACAAATGGCTTCCAGGGTCAATAAGACCAAAGGGGGGGGTTTTGTGAAGGATTTGATTTCCGTTATGTCCCTTTTGTCCAGAGAATCCAAAGAAGCTGCACAAATACCATTTTAAATCCTTTTTATTCTTTTAAATTATTTAAAATCATCCAAAAATTGCTTTTTTTCTTTTAATTTCAAACATTTTGATGCAAAATGGCCCCCGAGTGGGCAACAATGCATGCAAAATGCATGCAAAATGCATGCACAGTGCATGCAGAATGCATGCAAAATGCATGCAAAATGCATGCAAAGTGCATGCAAAGTGCATGCAAAGTGCATGCAAAGTGCATGCAAAGTGCATGCGTCATGAAAGCCCCAAAAGGGGAATGCATGCAAAGGAGAGTAAAAGGGCAGTTAGCGTCGAAAGGGATAGAGCAAACGTAAACCCTAGACCCTAAAAGTTTGACATGCCTAAACCCTAAACCCTAAACCCTAAACCCTAAACCCTAGTTGCGCATCTTAAATTCCCTTTCAAAGTTGCTGAGGAGCTATGGGCCGCAGCGCCGCATTTGCGTCCACTTAGGCTTTAGGGTTAACAGACTAGGGTTTAGAATTTAGGGTTTAGGGTTTAGGGTTTAGGGTTTAGGGTTTAGGGTTTAGGGTTTACAGAGCGCTGCTTCTAAAGCCGGAAGAGCTTCTTCAAACTCCTGCTGCGCCTCGTGCTGCAGCTGCTGCGCTGCTGCTCTGTGGCTGCTGACAATTGCTTCTTCTTCTTGAACTTTTTTCTTTTCCAAGTCCACAACTGCTTTGTCCGCCTCCACTTGCTGCTCGCAAACCCTAAACCCTAAACCCTAAACCCTAAACCCTAAACCCTAAACCCTAAACCCTACGCCCTAAGCTCTAGGCGCTCGCGCTGCCTGCAGGCGCGCGAGCCCGGCTTGAGCCTTAAACCCGTGACGGTCGCCCGAAACATTAAACCCTAAACCCTCGCCTCAAACCCTAAACCCTCACATCAAACCCTAAACCCTCGCCTCAAACCCTAATCCCTCGATCCAAACCCTAAACCCTCGGTCCAAGCCCCAAGCCCTCGGCCTAAACCCTATATCCTCCGTGGAAACCCTAGACCCTCTGTGCAAAACCCTAAACCCTCGCCTCAAACCCTAAACCCTCGCCTCAAACCCTAAACCCTCGCCTCAAACCCTAAACCCTCGCCTCAAACCTAAACCCTCGCCTCAAACCCTAAACCCTCGCCTCAAACCCTAAACCCTCGCCGCCGCTCACCTTCAGCAGGGCCTCGGCCTTGAGGTGTTTTTCCCTCAAAAAGGGCCCCAGCTGCTGCAGCTCCTGCTGCAGCAGCTTCACTTGTGCTGCTGCTGCTGCTATGTGCTGCACCCCTGCGCTGAACAGCTGCAGCCGCCGGCTGAGGGCTTCGCGGCGCTCAGCCAGCAGCTGAACGCAGCGCAGCAGCCGAGGGTTTAGGGTTTAGGGTTTAGGGTTTAGGGTTTAGGGTTTGGGGTTTAGGGTTTAGGGTTTGGGGTTTGAGGTCTGGGGTGGGGCTGCGAAGAGAACGGGTAGTTTGGGGGCGCGGGCGAGGGTTTAGGGTTTGCGAGTGTGGATGGGTGATCGGCCGTTCGACGCGCGCTAGGGTTTAGGGCTTAGGGTTTAGGGTTTAGGGTTTAGGGTTTAGGGTTTAGGGTTTACGATTGTGAACAAAGAAATGAGGTTTAGGAAGGCCTTGGGGGTCACGTAAACCCTTTTTCCTTCTCTTTCTAAAAAGGCAGCAGCTTCTGCTTCTGCGCTGAGGTGTATGTTCACGCAGAGCTGCGAGAGTTTGCTTTTGTGCTGCTGCTGCTGCTGCTGCTGCAGCAGCTGCTGCTGCTGCTGCTGCTGCAGCCGCTGCTGCTGCGCCTCCGCGCTGAGCTCCTCGGCCTCCCCGTGCTGCTGCTGCTGCTGCTCCTGCTGCTGCTGCGGCAGCTGCAGCTGGGGCAGGTCTGCTGCAGCAAACAGGTGAGCAGCAACAGCAGCAAGAGGTGTGGGGCCCCACACTTCGAAAAAAACAGCAGCAAATGCTTTTGTTAATCCCGGAAATAAACGAAGTCTTCTTCTCAAGGCCCCCCCAACAGGAGAAAGGCAAATGCAAACCCTCAGCCTCTTCAGCACGTTTTCTCTGAACACGCGCAGCGCGCTCTCGCTGCTGCTGCTGCTGCTGCTGCTGCTGCTGCTGCTGCTGCTGCTGCTGCTGCTGCTGCTGCTGTCGCGGGGCGCGGGGGAGGCAGAGAGGTCCCCTACAATCGTCTCCACTGCCTCTGGGTCTAGCAGCCCTTCTACCTGTGCGCCAAACCCTAAACCCTAAACCCTAAACCCTAAACCCTAAACCCTAAACCCTAAACCCTAAACCCTCAAGCTTACAACCCGCAGTGCGAGCACCGAAGACTGTTGCTAGCTGGGTTGGTCGCCAGCTGCTGACGCGCAAGCCCCAAACCCTAAACCCTAAACCCTAAACCCCAAGCCCCAAACCCTAAGCCCCAAACCCTAAACCCTAAACCCTAAACCCTCGGGAGCACCTCTCCAGTGTTTGCCACTGCGTCTGCGTCTCCCAGAATTCTTTCATCCAAAATTTGACTTTCATTCAGCAGCAGCAAAGTGTCTTTTCCTGCTGCTAGTCCTGCGCCTAGCATTGCTGCTTTCAGGTCTTCTCGGAATTTGCCCAGCGCGCTGCTGCTGCTGCTGCTGCTGCTGCTGCTGCTGCTGCTGCTGCTGCTGCTGCTGGCTTGGGAGGGGTTCGCAGCCCCAGCCACGGCGTGGTCGCCGCCGCCGCCGCCGCTGCTGCTGCTGCTGCTGCTGCTGCTGCTGCTGCTGCTGCTAGGCTGCTGCTGCGGGCTGCCCCAGGGCGCCTCTGAAGTGTCTTTGTCTTCGATCGCGTGACACACGAATTCCTTCTGAGTCAAACAAAAACCCGCATTTAGGGTTTAGGGTTTAGGGTTTAGGGTTTAGGGTTTAGAGAGTTAGGGTTTGGAGTTTAGCGTGTAGCCACTTAATGAACTAATTGTTTTTAAATTAATTTAACACTCAAGCAAATGAAACTTAATTGATTAACAAGCAAATAATATTTAATTAGTTAAATTGTCAAAAATATAATTAAATAGTTATTCAATTACTAGATAAATATTTATATTTCTTATTAAACAAAATAATTAATTATTTAATGGATAATTAATTATCATTCTAACTACTTTAATTATTATTGAGGAAATTATTTATTTAATTAATTAGACGAATAATGAACAGTGGATGATTATCTCTTTACGCAATTAATTATTTATTTATTTATTTATTTATTTATTTATTTTTTATTTGCTTGTTTGTTTGTTTATTTATTTTATTAAACTGACTTATCTGTTTGTTCACTTATTAGGTACTTAAATAATAAGAAAACAAATCAATTAATGAATAATAGATTACTTAATTACCCAATCAATTATCTTTCAATAAACAAGTTAATTGCAAAACGATTAAAACAATTAAAGCAATTAAAACAATGAAAACAATAAAACAATTAAGTAATTAAAACAGATAAAATATTAAAACAGTTAAATAATTAAAACAATTAAAGCAATTAAAACAATTAAACAAATTAAAACAATTAAAACAACTAAAACAACTAAATAATTAAAACAATTTAAACAACTAAAGCAACTAAATAATTAAAACAATTAAAACAATTAAAACAAACAAATAATTAAAACAATTAAAACAATTGAAGCAAATAAATAATTAAAACGCTTAAATAATTAAAACAATTAAATAACTAAAACAATAAAACAATTAAAACAATTAAATAACTAAAACAATAAAACAATTAAAACAATTAAACAATTAAAAACGAACTAATTAAAAATAAAAACAAACAAGTTTGTGCTGCTGCAGCAAACCAAACTCACCAGCAGCAAACCCCTAATGGCAGCAGCAAGTTTGGCGCTGCTGCTGCGGCCTGTTGCAGCAACTCCGAGCAGCAGCAAATGGCGAGTTTGCTGCTTGAGGTGTCTAGACACTGCAGCAATTCGCGAGACGGCGTCGGGGAAGAAGACGAGGGAGGCGAGGGGCGCTGCTGCTGCTGCTGCTGCTGCTGCGGGGCCTGCTGCTGCTCCTGCTGCTGCTGCTGCTGCTGCTGCTGCTGCTTCTTCCCGGTACAACTGCAGCACCTTCTGCAGCTGCTGCCAAGCTGGGGCTTCGGTGTATCTGCTTTGCCCCGGGGTGAACCAGTCGCCCCACAAGTTGTGGGGCGCAGCAGCTGCTGCTCCCTGCTGCCTTGCTGCTGCTGCTGCTGCTGCTGCTGCTGCTGCAGCAGCAGAATAAAACAACTTCCGAGATGCCAAGTCCTTCATTTCCCTCTCCAACCACTCTCGGTCTTCTCCGCACATCAGCCGGTCGCCGAAAGTCCGCGTGCACTCGTGCAGCCACAACCTGCAAAAACCCTAAACCCTAAACCCTAAACCCTAAACCCTAAACCCTAAACCCTAAACCCTAAACCCTAAAACCTTGACCTCAGACTCTTGGGCTTCCATCCATAGACCCGGCGCAGCTTTTAGCAGCAGATTTGCCGCAGCGTTCAAAGAACCTCAGCCCACGGCCGCCCCAACCCTAAACCCCAAACCCTAAACCCTAAACCCCAAACCCTAAACCCTAAACCCTAAACCCTAAACCCTAACCGGACAAGGGCATTTCTGGGGGCAATGGCGTCTGCGTCTGCTGCCACTAAACCCTGAAATAAACTTTTGAGATCTCTGAAGTTAAAAATGTAAAAAGGGCGAGAAGGAGTTGGCAGCAGCGTCTCCTTCACTTGCTTGTACAACTCTGCACAAACCCTAAACCCTAAACCCTAAACCCTAAACCCTACCCCTAAACAATAAACCGGAAACCCTAAACTCTAGCGCCCTTGTCCGGTGCGCCTAGGGTTTAGGGTTTAGGGTTTAGGGTTTATGGCTTAGGATTTAGGGTCTAGGGTTTAGGGTTTAGGGTTGTGGCGGCCGTGGGCTGAGGTTGTTTGAACGCTGCAGCAAATCTGCTGCTAAAAGGTGCAGGTCTGTGTTAAAGGCCGCGAAGACGCCCTCCGCATTTGGGCTAGGGTTTAGGGATTGTAATTAGGGTTTAGGGTTTAGGGTTTAGGGTTTAGGGTTTTGGGTTTGTGGCCTGGAACTTGCCGATGCTTGCATCGACCACGGCTTTGGCCTGGACGCGCAACTCCGGCTTCACTCCCTGAAGGATTTCAAATCGGAAACACTAAACCCTAAACCCTAAACCCTTAACCCTAAACCCTAGCTCCTTGCATCTGCCGCACCCAGCTTCTCCCCCCCGCAGCTACCGGCCCTTCCCTATCCCCATCAAGGCTCCCTAATCAGCACCTAGGGTTCCCACCTTCCGGTCTAGGGTTTAGGGTTTAGGGTTTAGGGTTTAGGGTTTAGGGTTTAGGGTTTAGGGTTTAGGGTTTACGGAGTGGGCGAAGTGGGCGTCCAGGAGGGTCAAGAAAAGTTTTTGAGAAGAAAACTCATCAGGTTCATTTACGAAGATGGAAAAGAAGTGTCTAGACAGTCGAGGAGACAAAGGGTCTCTTGCTGCTGCTGCTGCTGCTGAGAGCAGCAGCAAAACCCTCTCCAAACCCTTCCAGTGCATGCGCTTGCGGTCGTAGAAACCCTAAAACACCACAAACCCTAAACCCTAAACCCTAAACCCTAGGCCCCGCTGCAGCAGCAAAACCCTTTCCAAACCTTTCCAGTGCATGCGCTTGCGGTCGTAGAAATCCTAAACCCTAAACCCTAAACCCTAAACCCTAAACCCTAAACCCTAAGCAGAAACCGAATGCCGTGACAGCATGAAGCCATAAAAAGCAAAGAATGATCACAGGCCTCTCAGCTCGGAAAGGCGCAGTCAGGGCGCGCCACGAAGTAGGTTTTAGAGTTTAGGGTTTAGGGTTTAGGGTTTAGGGTTTAGGGTTTAGGTACATTGAACTCTTGAATTTGCCTGAGAAGCTCGGCAGTTGGC